ACTGACTGCAGATCTCTGACTGACTGACTGCAGATCTCTGACTGACTGCAGATCTCTGACTGACTGCAAATCTCTGACTGACTGACTGCAGATCTCTGACTGACTGACTGCAGATCTCTGACTGACTGACTGACTGTAGATCTCTGACTGTTTAAAGTATCTGACTGATTGTCTCTGTCTCTACACGTGTCTGAATGTATGCATGTCTCTGAATGCGTCTCCATAGATTTCTCACTGTATGTCTTTGACTCTCTGTAAGTCTCTGTGGTGAACGCTTTAACAATTCAGGCGATTTTCTAGGTTTATAAAAAAACGGCACAGGTAGCATTTTCATTGAACACACTGGATTTTCAAAAATTGCAAAACAAGTACATTGCAAAAATACAATAAAGATGATAGAGATTTGTATACTTAATGAAATCTATATCTATCTATGTATACAGTATCTATTTAGCGATACCATTACACTCTTCACCATTTTTCGCTTCCCAATTTCCATTTCTCTATCCCACTCTTCTTTATCTTCCTGTTCTCTTTTTTCATATCTTGAGTTATTGCAATGTTGCATGTAATTCCTCTATAATTTTTCGACTGGGTATCCATTTCCACATTTTTTGTGGAAGTTTATCAGATTTCAGTCTTCTCATGTACATGCCATATTAGGTACTTAGTTTCCATCATGTCATTCAAGGTGGCTTGCACTTTCATTTTATTTCATCATTTTTTATTTTGTTTAACAGAGGAAGTTTACTCTTCCCCAGAACAATTTCTGTTGCCTCAAGTTGGTCTCCCATTGTTTGTTACACAAGACTTCTGCTACACAGAGTATTGTACTCTCTATGAAGGAGCCATACATGGGTTTTGTGTCTTTGTTGAATTTATTCATTTCACTGGAGTCTTGTGGTTATTTTTACTTTTATATTTTATTTTTTAAATCCTGTTCCTCTCTGTTAGTGTGACTTCCAAGTATCTATATGGTGTATTGCCTTTAATGATTCTTATACTAGCTTTGAAATCATGGGACATCCCCCCCCACCCCCCCCACTACCATGTACACAGTCTTTTGCACATTTATTTTTATTCTCAAATTTTCATACTCTACAACTAACTTTCTGAAAACATAGGTTAACATCATCTTCATCTTTTACCGATATCACATAGTCTTCGTCAAAAAGTACATTCAACAATGTTTCATTTTACTTAATTTGACACCCATACTTCTATACTTTCTTTTCCATTCTTTTAAGGCTTTATCAATGTACATCTTAAACAGGGTAGGAGATATACAGCAGCCTTGCTGTAATCCTTTAGTTAGTGAGACATCGTCTGATAGTAATTTTCCCACTTTTACTTGACTTCTGTTATCTTTATAAAGTTGTTTGACTGCATTTATATATGTTGTTGACATTCCTTTCACTTCCATTACCCCAATACCTCATTTTTACTAGCATATTATCATAAGCCTTTTTCAGATCTGTGAAAAGTATGTGTAGGTTCCGAACTCACTCAATTGTTTTAATTTGTAAGTGGTTGGTGACAGAAAATATTGTTTATATAGGATTTTCTTGGCCTGAAATCTTGACCACTTTGATGTTCGAAGTCTGAAATTTACATTTCAATTCTTATCTTTAGCATATGTCCATAGTCTAACCAAAGATGAAGTCACGCATATCCACCTACAGTTATTACAAACTTATTTACAGCCTTTCTTGTAAATTGAGTTTATAAAGGCTAATATTTGTGGCATTTTACCTCCTTTTAAAATGCTAGAATATTTCTGTAACTATTTTCAAAGCTACAATAGGGTAATATTTAACTAGGTCTCTGGATATTCCTCCAGGCGCTAGTGCTTTCTTATTTTTCTTTTTTTTAAAACCATTTTTCCCTCTTCTTCTACCTGCAGTGGTTCATAATCTATTCCCTCAACTTCAGTTCTATTTTCTGTCACAAGATTTCCATAGTATTTTTCCCATTTCTCAATACTAATTGGGTCTACTGAAGGCCATTCTTGGGTAGAATTAAATTTCATAGAATGTTGTATATTCCATGCCTCTCTGGATTGGGTACTATCATTGCACTTGTCTAACCTGTCACATTTTTGTTCACAAAACACATTTTTTAACATTTTCCACTTATTTCACAATTAAATACTTAACTTTTTATGTTCATTTCTGTCTCCTAAATCTTTTGTTGAAAACCATCACAAATACGACTTTTTCTTTTCTTCAACTAGGTTCTTGATATCTTCTGTCCACCACAAGTCTTTAGTTTCATTTTCACTTTTCTCCTAGCACTTCTTTAGCTGCTTCGTGAGTGCATTTGTCTAAAAATTGATATTTATCTTCAGCATTTCCTATTGGGCCATACCTTAATTTTTCTGCTACACGCTATTTGTACAAAAATGAAATGGAATCTTCATGAAAATGAAATGGCCTTCAATATTATATCTTAGCTCATATGACCTTCCATTTTTCTACCTTTTTTACTTGATTCCATTTTTCCATATCTTCTGAAGTGAGGTTTATACACAAGGTATGTTTTTCTTTTTACTAAGTAGTGGTCTGATCCACAGAAAGCATCTGTATCGAAGTCGACACTTTATTGTCAACTTTTGTTTAGTAATTAAAACAATAATTAACTGCAGTTTTCTGGTGGTCTGGGTCCTTATGAATCTATGTATTTCTTTAAGTGGAAAATAGCCATTCAATATTTTATGATCATACTGTTCACATGCTAATTGCTGCATTCACCACCCATCGATAAGGGCGTGCAGGGCAATGGAGTTGCTACATCCCTACACGTAGTCTGTTCTAAAAAAATTGATCTATGAAGTACATGTACTTTCCTCGTAATTTTTTCTTAGAGTAGAAAATTGGTGCCAGCGTTGACCACAGACGCACAAACAAATGTTTTGCAGTCAATCGATTTTTCGCTTTCAAAGACCCACGAAACAAAATGTGGATTGTAACTACACACGTGTTACAGGAAGTAATTTACCACAGATAGAAAAAAGAGCTTTCCTCTTTTCATTACCAGGGTCCGACAAGATGAGTTTTCCTGTCGAAAAATTGCCGATTGCTGCTATTGCGTTATATTTTCTCTATACTACATACGTAGTAAGACGAGAAAGTAAAAACATGTTCACTGGTTATTCTCTTAAAATATAATCTGTTTTCCACTGGATTATCTGCAAAGTTGCACATCCGCAGTTAGTGTGTGTATTGTACAAAAATATTTTAACTTGAAGCAATGTTTGCACTAATTCCCGAGGCTATACTTGCCCCCAAGCCATAATTTATTTTTGTAATTTTATTATTATTTAATTTTTTTGTAATTTTTGTTCAACTTATTGAAAATAATTATCATATATGATCTCATCCAAAACTGTATTCACATAATGAATATACTGGTAGGTACTATTTTATTCCAAGCAAACAATTCAGAAAATTGTACCTATGTCAAAAATATATCTTAGGGGCAAACTGAAATTGTCTCCTTCCCCATTTACTTTTGGGATCCGCCTTTGTCTTCAGATAAAATATGTATAAATGGTAGGCATGTAAGGGCTTGTTTGAAATACACAAAGGAAATTAACTCTGAGGCCAAAATTTCCAGTTGTGAACAATATCTAATCAGACTGAGGCTACTGGAATGTTATTCCCTTTATAATTTTCATTACATATTTGCAGACAATTTCACATTCTCCATTTACCATGACCTATTCATGAATCTTCTCAAGTGCTTGAGATAGAAACAAGATGAGAAAAGATTTGTAAAACATATTATTCCTTACCTGCCAACATTAATACGGCCTGGACGCCTCCTTTGAACGCTTCAGTTGCACTTTTAATCGTTTGGTACCTATCTGGAAACCATTCATGGCTTGTATTGCAGCTTGTGCACTGACTGGATTATCATATGAAACGAATCCTGTAAAATACAAATGTGTAAAAATTGTGATTAGTAGGAAACTGAATTTATTGCAATTAAAAAATTTAAATTAAGTTCATGTACATGCACATTCATTTATTTAAATATGTAAAAAATCACGACTGTGTTTAAAGTTGTCTCAATGGAGTATTTTCACATTTTCGAACACAGAATGTGGTCCTTTAGACATATTAAAATACAACGAAATATATTGCAATGAGTAGCGCTCACGCACGCTCATTACGGGCACATGTCCGCACCCCCGCCTTGAAATCGAATCAGTCACGGGCAGCTGGTCGCCTTTCGCCGCAGAGAAACGGAGCAACATTCAGCTAAAAGTGTGGTGGAGTGGAGTTGTAAATATCCCACTCCCCCGATGTTGACACACGTCTCAGGCACCACTTCACCCTCGAAGGTCGGCCCAGCTTCCTCACGAGGCACTGAGAGAGCCGCGACAACACGGTGCGTGGTAGCTGGCCCTCGTCAAGGCCACAGCTACTGAGCCATCCAAAGCTAGCAGCGCCCCAAAACCAATTTCAACTAAACTATATCCAACATTTTTTGCCAAATCGAGGCTAATTAAATGCGATATTCCCGAATTTTAGTCTCTTTTAGATTTTCCAAAATCGTGGGCGTTGCTAGCTTTAGACTGAAGCCAGCAGTGCCCACCAAGAAAATCAATTCAAAACCACACCAAAAGTAAAGGGTAATTTCAGGCTCTAGGGGAAAAAATATCCCCGCATTTTTATTGCAAAAATTCAGGACTGTACAAAGAGAATCAATTAACACGTTCTTATAGGCGAAAACAAAAAAAAAAAAAAAACAAAAAAAAAAAAAAAAAAAAATAGAAAACTTCAGAAAAAATATGCGACTTCTCATAATTTAAGGGTTTAGGAAAAAAATTACCGCATTGCATCTCCAAAAAGTTGGCCTGTGCTAAGAGAAACAATACATGTTCTTTGGGGCGAATAAATACGAAAACTAAAAACCTCAAAAACAAATGAGACCATATCCATAAACCCCCATAAAAGTTGGTAATTTTTAAACAATTTTTTTCATGTGCGATATTAGCATTATCGGTATTAATCCCTGAATAAAGGATATAGCTGGGTAAGGGTGTGAAAAGTGCCCCAAAAACAAATCAATAATCGCGATGCTCATAATAAAGAGATTAAAAAATGCTTTAGATTGCCCCAAAACAGCATCCTAAGACAATCTGTTTCAGGATACGTTACAACGATACATACTGTTATACAACGAGCAACGTTTTTCATGTTTAATTTTTTTTCTTTTTTATTGCATGTATTAGGATGAAAAAAATTGGAGGTATGGCTGAGTTTGATGGTATTTTCAATTTTGACGTCTATTTCAAATATAAAAATTAATAAATACATTTTTGAAATTAATTACCGACGTTATATCGTTGGAGCACTGTCTCAGTTTCCCCCTGAAACGTTCTACAACTTGGAATATTTTTCAGAATTTTAAACGATGTGGACGATAGTGAAAAAATTAAATGATTTAAAAAAATTCTTATTAGAGACCTGGGTTTTGGCATAAATATACGGGAATAATTTTTTCCTTAGAGCCTGAAATTAACGTAAAGCTTTGGGAAGGGTTTCAAATTTTTCTAAGATAATTTGATTTTGTTGTGCCTTCTCCCATACGAACCAATGTTAATTGTTTCTCTTTGTACAGTCCTGATTTTTGGAATATAAATGAGGGAATAATTTTTTCTAGAGCTTGAAATAAGCCTTAAATTTGGGTGTAGTTTTATATTTTTGAATTGATTTTTTGATGGGTTTTCTAGGTGAGCGCTGTTAGATTTAGTCTAAAGCTAGCAACGCCCACGATTTTGGGAAATACAAAAGAGCCTAAAATTCGGAAATAGAGCATTTAATTAACCTCAAATTGGCCTAAAAGTTTGGATATGATTTGGTTGAAATTGTTTTTTGGGCATTGCTATCTTTAGATGGCTCTGCTACTGTTTCCCCATAGAAAAACGAATTATCGCAAGTGAGAGGCAGCGAGCTTCCCTAATCCCTTAGGACATACAAATTACATTAGCGGTTCGCGCATCTGGTACCATAACAATCACTCTTTTTCAAACAGCTGAAAAGAAACAGATCTTAACGAATAGCGTAATTCTTAAGTAGGTCAACCGAGGGAAGGACGCTCCAAGCCAATAATTGTTCAGTAAACCTTAGAAATTTCTCGAATAACCGAATATAGAAAATATTAGTACAATACAGCAATCACGACACCAGGGAACCACGCGTAGGAGAGAAGAGGGGAGGGGAGTTTTCAGGGAAGAGCTCCGACCACGACAATGTAACTGCACCTCGGTGAAAACTTTCGAATACTTTGTTCAAAATTTTGGAACCCTTCGAGAATAACCTAAAAGCTACCACTGCAGTTAGAAATTTTAACGACTTCGGTCGCAAAAATAACTGCCATCAATCATCCGAAACAACCGCCGAACTGTTACGGCAGCTTTACGCAATACTTGTCTCAATAAGGCGACAAGATAGCGTGTGACGGCCTTCCTTTGCGTCCGCCCTCGCAGTAACCACTTCGAAGCATAAATGGGGCCTTGCCGACGAACCTGAGCATCCGAACGAGCTTTGCGGTGGCAGCAGATTAATTGGAGAACGCGAGGCAGCGTCGGGCGCCCTCTGACGCTTCCAGCTGCCAGCCAGCCTACGTCAAAATCTGTCGGCGTGAGATTATCGGAACGCCGCAACTGCCGGCCGAGGTAACACCTGTAACGTATTAGCCAGCGTGCCTCATGGCATCTATTTGGGGACGCTTGGGAAAGGATTAGCCTAGCCACAGGAAGTAGGGTTTTTCCGTAAAGGGAAGAACGCAGAAACGGGAGACACAAGGCTTTGGGAGTTTCCGGCTTATAGAAGCTTTTCACTGTTATAACAAGCGAGGGGGTGGCGTGACGTAGTAGGTCACGTGGGCCTCGCCTATATAACAGAGTGTACAGAGCCAGTGGGTGGGTTCTGGAGACAGCGGGAGAACCTCGTGCGTGTGCACGAAACTTGGCGCCACGACGGTGCATATGCGAGCCAGGCTCGCGAGGCTCGAGTCACTAGTTGACGAAGCCTGCGGACTTTATGTCCTTGGGTGACTGCGGTCACGCTGTGTGCGTGCTCCGAGGTGAAGAGTGGTTGAGTGCCACGATTCACGCCGATTCTCAATCGGATAAGATCGCTCCTGCGATCGAGGCAAACCAGCCGTTGGGGCGCCAGAACGGACTTAGTGTCCCAGCGTGACATCCGGTCACGGAAGCTAGGCTTTGTGCGCGCTTCAAAAGTAGGAGTGGCGAATGCCACAATCAAAACCATCTTCAATCGGGTTTTGGATCGCTCCCGCGATCAGGGGATAGTAGGTCTATCAGAGCTAGGGTGTAAGTAAATTATTAAGTGTATATATTTGTTTTGTTTTCTTTGTTAATAAATATATTGTTATACGAAAGCTCTGTGTCTGTAGTCGCTGTGAGTATCCATGACGTCACACACCGAACCAGTCATTACTTGTCCCTATCCGTTAATAGACAGTTAAATTCACTGGACAGAAGGTTCCTGTAATAGATCACCTGTCATGTACAATTCATTTGTTATTTTATATCACTAAATTAATGTGATTAAATTCGCATCAGTCACCTTTACGAGATGCTTTACAAGAAAATTAACGTGTTATATTTCATTAATTAACATTAGTAAGACCTTGCATCATCACCGATCCAGAACTACCCACCCTTGATCATACAAACCGGCACTCAACGTAGTCCAAGTCTGTAAAACACTTGGCGCCCAACACCCGCGCATGCAGACTGAACCAATTTATAACTCGGATTAGCGGGAGCGTAATCCATTACATTTGACGTGCCAATGTGTGTAAATAAGCGCGTTCCATTACATAGTAAGAAATGTGTAGAATAGGTAAAGTATGTAAAAATATGTAATTATACAGAAATATCAATAAAAAGGTAAAATAATGAATTCAGAATGTGATACAAACTCGAAAAAATATTGAATGCAGGTATCTTCTGCCAGTAAAAATATGGATTTTCATGCAAATGCGTTTCCTGGTGATCATGTACGGGGATAAAATCATTCCTCATGTTAGTACAATTTTTGTATTTAATATAGTGAAGATCAGTGAGAATATTTATGGTGTGATTTTCGTTTTAAGTATGATACATTGTTTCATAAATGTTTGTTAGAGTTCATGTTACTGAACGTCATGGGCTGTATTAAAACAATCGGGACTATTCACTCAAAAACCGAAAATTCAACACATCTTGGAATTATTTGTAACATTTTGAGTCTTGTTAATATTTGTAATATAATTTAATTCATTGCTGTTATGAAGACATCAGGGTTTGTCATTAAAATTGTGAAGGTTTTGTAATTAATATTAAATACAAATTTTGTTACGACGTTTTTTATTGCAAAACTTGAAAATTGAACATGTCTTTGTTTAAATGGGTAAACAGGTATATTAACTGATGATTCAATTTATTAGTCTAGCAAATTTGTTTAATACAGAACAATCTGCCTAAGCCGGAATCGATCGGGACCCAAAAATTCCGGGTTAGGGAGGTTTCCATTTTATGCAAGATTGTCCATTTCATAACACTTATGATATTGACGTTTCTGCCCTGAAAGTAGTAAATTACATGACTTTATTATAATTATAAAAATACATTCACATATAACATATTAATGGAATAAATCACCAATAAATGAATATCAAACACTCTTCATTGACAGCTTCTTAGTTGAAAAATACACACCTTACTGGCTGTATTCGGACAGCTTGCTCACTGACTCAATGCACAATGCGTCACAGCCCAATACTATGACTTTCTGATACCCTCGCGTGACCTTGAACTATACATATCTCGTCGAGGGGTTCTGATTTTTCAACGCGGGGCAGGGAAACGTGTGAATAGAAGCCATAATCGTACACCTTCCCACGTTCAGACAGTCGGGAAAGATGGAATTTCCTTACGGCCAACGCCTTGAGAGACAAGCCACCCCACGGTCGAATTCTGCGCTGACAGCTGAAGCCCATCTCCTTCAATGTCCGGCTGCCACAACTAAATCGCGTGCCTCAAGGATAGAGAATTTAAAACAAGCTTGCTGTTGCATTTATTTCATCAAGAACATCTCGAGTCTCTCTGCCAATTCAATTCATTGGTTTTACAAGACCCCCCCCCCCTGCAAGACATACAAAACCGTTCCTTTCCGCGTTGAAGAGGTTCTGTTTTATGCTGTGCCATTTCATTGCAAAGGCTGCATAAAATTTCCTGTTAAGGCAGGTTTATGACTTGTACAGGTTCCGGTTTAGACAAATTTGACTGTGATAGAATCAAGACTTAAGCTGTAAGCTCCCGAGTGCTCCTCTTCATAACACAGAACCTTTGGTACCTTGGTATTGCTAGGGTTGTTAAAATTATATACCAGCAGAATATTGGTAATTACAATACGAACAAGTTTCGAAGCCTTCCTCGTGAGCGAAATTTTGATCCATGATGAAAGTGTTATATTCGGCTTCATCAGTTTCGGGAGAATTATCGCACGCATGCTCACAATAATTGCAGACTGCAGATCACAACAGTCAAGATTTTCTGCAGCTGCTGGCCTCAGCACATTCTTTTATTATATGAAAACTGGGATCTGGACTTTGTATGCAAGGGTACACTGAGTAAATGTATTATATCCACTACAAGCACGAATGAAAATATCTTCCGGGTCATATTTGAATGATTTGTGAGTAGTCAGCGGCACAGAATTGCCCATAAAATAATTTTATGAATACTAAAATATTAGCTAAAGAAAATAGAAGGAATCCAAGATTGGTTTTGGAAATTTTGATTATAGACTACCAACTGTAGCAAGTTTAATCAAATTTTACCAGACTTTATAATAGCCTCTTGCGCAATTTTAAATAATGTACATGTTGGTGTGTTTTTGTTTTTGATACAAATTATTTTTCCGTTTAACATTTTTTTGAAAGGTTAGCAGTCCTTGAATGTATATGTTTCTTTCCTTTCTTTCTTGCACCTCCATTTGACCGTTAGAGTACAAATTTTCTTTATCGCAATCGACAGGTCAGATCAACAGTTTGTCTACAATGGCGGCTGGGACGGTTGATTTTCTTGCAAAATATACACCCTCGAAAACTGCCAACATGAAAAAAATTTATTCATATTTTCAATTTGGTATAATTTATAATAAGGTAAGTTCCGGGTACTTTTGTTTCGTGACCCGTCTTATGTGTTTTTATACTAAATGTACAGTATTGATGAAAAATGTATTGTTTTAGCCTGGAGATGGGGCAAATTTGGCCAGGAAACGTCGCATATTTATAACGTTCATACAGTAAAATATGTTTACGCAGGAATCGATCAGGACAAAAAAAAACGGTTTAGGTAAGTTTCCGTTTTATGCAGGGTTGTCCATTTAACGGCACTTGTAATATATTTCTGTTCTGAAATTAGTAAATTAATGCAAGTAAATAAATAATTAAAGTAAAAATTACATGATTTTATTATTAAAACAGATTTATATTACGTATTTTTGGAAGAAATCATCAATAAATGAATATTAAACATTCATTGACAGCTTCTGAGATTCTCTTGCTTCCATAAGTTTGACCTTTTCAACTAACGTTTGAGAAAGTTTTAGTTTTATGGTTTTCGCATTGTTAAAGTGGTTGTGAAACTCATACAAATACACACCAATGCCTAATGGCTGAAATCGGAATCGGACTGTTTGCTGACTCTCAACACACACTGCGTCACAGCGCAGAGTACTACGATTTTCTGATATCCTTGCATGGCCTTGAGCAATGCGTCTCTGGCCGAGGGATTATGATTTTGATGAGGGGGAGGATCCCCTACGGCCTACGGCCTACGCCTTTAGAGACAAGTAATCCCGAGGTCGAATTCTACGCTGTCAGCAGAAGCCCCCCTCCTTCACAGCCGGTTGCCACAACTAAATCGCATGGGATAGAGAATTTAAAACAGACTTTCAGATGCATTCATTATATTAAGAATATATCACGTGTCTGCCAATCGCATTAAATTCCGTTTTAAAAATAGTTTCGTCCTAAAGGACATGAAAAGCCGTTCCGTTTCCGCGTTGGACAGATTCCGTTGTATACTCGGTAAAATACCATACAACTTCTCGGGCCAGAGAAATTTTCCGATTAAGGCAGGTTTCCGGCTTGTACAGGTTCCGGTTTACACAGATTTTGCTGTACATGCTTCTTAACTACACTATTTTTTCAAGAATCTGTTCGTCGGATGAATGGCCAAAGAGTTTGCCATATTAAGTAATTTATTTATTAGTATTCCAGGAAGAAAAACCTGTTAACGAAGTATATAAAAATACAAATATTCCCCAATTTATATACTAACATAAAAACATTAAAACCCCAAAACGTATAGATTGTGTTAATAGTAATTTCATTCTCAAATAAATAGTTGAGAATTCTAAATTTTGTATCAACACATGCACCAACATTAGTCATAACTTATTGTGTCTATCACCATAATTTAAATTAAAGCAAGAAAGTTTAAATGAAAGAATTGATATCAGATATTGGCCAAAAGTGATATATAACCATGCATGTGGCTTGCAACATTAAGCACGGAGCGGGCTGACGACGAAGGTGGAACGGCCATCCCGGGGGCGCGGTCAGGATTGAGAAATCGGATCGTATTGGATTATATTTGTTGGTATTCGCTGAACTCAACATGTGCCTGAACGCATCAGCCCCATTGACCGGCTTGGCAGAGAATCTAGTCAATGGTACCGAGTTAAAATTCATCGAATCTCATGTATAAAAATAATATATAAAATGGTAATGTAGGTCTTTTGTGCTGTCTCTTACTAGTAAATCTCAATATGCATAATTAATTAGTATTTAAGTTTAAGACGCATCAAAAATGAAATTTTCCTGACTCTATTGTCACCAACGTATCACCATGTAAATGCTGCCCACGAGGAGCCTTGCATTGTATAACAATTTCTTGACAGGGTTAACCTGTTATAGATCTCGTTTGTCAATGCACACAGCGCCTTTACTTGTAGCAGCAACGTCTTCATCTAGTTAAGAAACAAACTACAATCAGCAAGCCACGTAGCAAAGGTCCCATGTCAAAATATATTGTTTATTAGCTTTTAAAACATTCAAAACAAGCACTATCACTTGATATTTTATTGGGAACTATTTACATCAACTGAAATTGAACAATCTACTAAAGAGCTCTTTGGCAGTACATTCCACTCATTTCGGAAACGAATGAAAGAAGCACGATTCTAAGACACTTCTTACCCATCTCGCCACTTACAAAATTCCCTATATTCTTCTACTTCCATACTTTGATTTCAATGGAAACATGCGAAAAGTTGCGGCTCTTACTTTTTCTAGTATATCGGGCGGAGTTTCCATTATTCCTCATTACCTTACATTTCAAGATCCATTACTGCGATAGAACCTGACATTCTCGTTACAATTCAAGAAAACACAAAAACGACGATCAAGTATGAGACCATGCTGACAAAAGTGATGATCAAGTGTAACTAACACATTTGCTTTTAAACTTTATTTTGACGAAAATGGTGCACACAAATGAAGAAACAACCACATACTACTTCATCGTACTACATGCAACAGACGCCAGGCACTACTGCCCTACATTGCTGCGGCCGTGGCTGAGTAAGGTGGTGGTGGTGGTGGTGGTGGTTTCAATGCACACTCTCGGCTATCACCACTACCCGATGATTATATAACACATTTCATGTCAGTGGTATTATTTGATTACTGGGAAACACGCATAAAAATAGGTCTCGAATAAAAGATTGCCCATCACACGGCAAAGGTCCCTTTTCATGACTCGACAGGATTCCTCGTCTGGGGTAACGACCTCGGCGGGTGAACTCTCCTGCCTCGTCATGAAAAGGTTGACTTTCTAGCCTTGTGATGTAGAATATTATTTCTTAACGGATAGTATTGTTTGGCATCACTTTCTGAAAAAAAAATCAAATTCATATTTGTCCCTTCCCCAAGCGAAGACCTCTCCAGGGTTCTCGCAAGGGTTAATCCGGTTTGCAGTTCGTAACATTTGTGTCCCTGGAAATGTGTTAAATTTTGACAGGCAGCGGAGTAACACAGTAATTTCTGTTACTATAATCTTCATTAAAGTGAATATCATAGTCACATTTTCCCTCTTCTGATTTTTAGTATGAAATGGCATATCAATATGTTTCCGATCCCTTTAAAGGTATCCACAACATACATGCATTATCAGATTCAGCAAAAAATTAAAGTACAGGTAGCAGAATGAAGAAGACAAAAGTCAACCACTACAGATCTAAACTGTGGCGGTGGCTGCGAGGTTATTAAGTTCGAATGCAAGTTCGGAAAAAACAATTTTGCGGGCTGAGAACATTGTCAGAGGCAGAAGACTGTAGAGTGTCAATGGGGCTATGCTCAAGTGAAGTAATCCGTCGCATGCTAATACAATACATCTAATTGAGTTCAAATATGCAAACTGTGTTCAGTTAGTATAATATAAAAAAATTAAAAGTAACTTTATAAAATCCCAAGGCGTCCAATTTGCAGCTTCCTGACTACATTTGCTCACTTCGGCTTCCTCACTTTCTAGACATTGGCCCGCGGAGCATGTCGTGTGCGCGAAAACGATCCCAAGGTCATATACGCTAGAACGAATGTTGTGCCGAGACGAACAAGTTCCCCCTTTTTTCGTACATATGGTACGTGCTTTAGCAAACATGATGCAACTGACACGAACCTTCACTCATCTGAACGGAGGTAGATATGTGACCTAACGCATTGCTTCTCTATCAGACCGGGCATTATAAATTAAAGGTTTTTTCTTCTCTCAACGAAGGGGAAAGAATCGATATTAAGGTTAGGCCAAGTGAGTGGGTGTCAAGTCGATACCCCTTCCGTCCTTGCTTGCTTGCTTGCTTGCTTCCTTCCTTCCTTGCTTGCTTCCTTCCTTGCTCCCTTGCTTCCTTGCTCCCTTGCTTGCTTGCTCCCTTGCTTGCTTGCTCCCTTGCTTGCTTGCTCCCTTGCTTGCTTGCTCCCTTGCTTCCTTGCTCCCTTGCTTCCTTGCTTGCTTGCTTCCTTGCTTGCTTGCTTCCTTGCTTGCTTGCTTCCTTGCTTGCTTCCTTGTTTGCTTCCTTCCTTGCTTCCTTCCTTCCTTGCTTCCTTCCTTCCTTGCTTGCTTCCTTCCTTCCTTGCTTCCTTCCTTCTTTGCTTGCTTCCTTCCTTGCTTGCTTCCTTGCTTCCTTCCTTGCTTGCTTCCTTGCTTCCTTCCTTTGCTTCCTTCCTTGCTTGCTTCCTTCCGCAATACTATCACTCAATACTGAAGTCAATTTTTCTCTACGGCTACAACTATGACCTAACGGTCAACGCTTTCCGTGTGTACATGTGTTCCCGTGTGTCAAAAGCATTTTTTTAGAAGAATTTGGCGATAGTCCGGATTGCATGTTCACTACATAGTGGTCGGATTTATTCATCGTAGGTAAAGTATAACCTATTAAAAATTGAATTGAAATAATTACAAAAAAATGTGGCCGCAACTCTTTTAGTGTTTTCGGGCTACCCATCCAGAAAACGGTGTTGGAGTACCGCTCCCGGCAGAGGTTTTTGAAGAGTGCATTCTTTCAAATGAATTATTAGGCGGCTTATAAAAGAAAATTGTACATTTAGAAGCTTCTATTCTACAACATACCGTTCCATTATTGCAGATTTATATAGTATTAGAAAATAAGTTTGTAGTTAAAATTATCCAGTAAAAGGAGATTATCCCATTAGCACTATCGTAAATACAACACAACAAAAGTACCATCTAAAACGATAATTATTCTATGGACTGGCAACACTGACGATAACATTATCCTTGACTGATCAAATCCCTGCACCGCATACTGTGAAAAATGGCGTTTGAACAATATAATCTCGTGCGACCTGTGCCATTCGTCGCCTGGGTGCCTAAGCGCTGGGGGACTTTTGTTGGCTCGGTCACCGTTATATCAAAGGGCAAAAAACACAAAAACCTTTTTGAAGCAATTTCTTAGAATTTTCGGGAGATATCCGTAAACAAATCATCTGTTTCCACCAGGAGACCCTGGCGCATCGAATGACACTGTAAGCATCATTATTATATTTCCTTGTATAGTATTTTGATTGGAGTTGTTTAAGCATCTTCTAACATTTGTTTTAACATTTAAAATAAATATTTTAGGCTAGCCAGAGACTTATTTTGTTAAATGAGCCTGGTCATAACAACAACACCCATTCTTCGTCAAATGCGCGTGGCACGAGATACCTAGATGATCTTCGAGAACTTTTTTCTTCTCAGTTTTCAGAGTTTCTTGAAACGGAAATAGGATGTGCTTAATATTTTTCAGCTGAAGCCTGTAACCCTTCCAACCCAGCCCGGAAATAAAATTCTGAAAAAGCTTTGGGTTTCATACATGTAAAGCACTAACAAATACAAAAACCGATGTTTAGTTATCTTTTAATTAGGCGAAGTACGTTAGACGTCGTAGAAGTGAACTTCCGTTTTAATATCTGATAATGCAGTACCGGCAATTCAGCGACTTCTCGAGTTTGTAGGTGTATTGAAAAAGCGTTTTGAAAAATAGCGACACTGCGTCGTCGATTTTATTACAACACTAAAGTTCTATTCTTACAAGCATTGAAAACTTTCATTTCACAGAGAAGAAGTTACTCCCTATTCAATGGGTTCATTTGAATATCCACAGTTACATGCAGAACAAGAGATGTGTGATGTCATACCGTAAAACTTACCAAAACATTTGGAGAGATTAGTCTGCTTATCAATGAACACTTTTGCTGACACAACGTTTCCAAAGGGAAGAAACGTCGAAGCCAGATCGTTGTCGCTAAACTCTTGAGGCAGATGGTAAATAAAAAGATTAGCTCCTTCTGGACCTTCTATTTGCTTCCCTGCTGGTCCACTTGAACCAGAGGAGCTATTTAAACCAGCACCAGCAGATGTATGGCTACTTCCTCCAAATGATGGAAAACCTGCACGACATAAAATTAAAATTTTTAATATTAGTAAACCGGGCCAAGGTATGTCCACGAATATGTTACAAAGAGAGTAATGTTTGAAAAGAAAGACAACCGCAGAAATGTTTTTTCAAAAATTATCAGTAGTTTAAAACACGTTGAAAATGTTCATAGACCCCCGTTCCTAAGAATTTAATTGGTCCATTTAAAACTGCATTTATCCTTAGAATTAATGTTTATACGGATGTTTCCGCTCCCAGGAGGTGCAACTGACACTCATTCAAAGAATCACTCCTTTTAAGAACGAGATTTATTTGAAGTAGAGTCGTGTGCCCCATATATCGTCCCCCTAAGCATTTTATTTTGCTACACAAAAAATAAGCAGTACAACAATTGAAAAAAACCTGACCTCAAGACCATCATTTCCCCCCTTTTCTCGACTTGCTTTGATTTTTAAAAATTAGCTGCTAATTTCGTCCCAATGATTTGGAATTTTGAAAATCAAAATGTGATAAATATAATTAGTATGATATTATGTGATATTTTGTAAACAAAAATACGCTTTCATTCTTTAACGTATTTTAAAAATAAACCTCAAACTTATGAAAAATATTTTCTTAAAACTTCAGTTATCACATAATTCATATTACATGACATAATATGACGATGGCATGTATTCATAAGTCACACAACCTTTCTATTATGATCTGGTGTAATGGTACACTTCTTGTGTGACCGTTTGATACATGTGGTGCATCTTATCCATTTTACTCCCTTTTCTCGTATTGAAGAACTGATCTTGAGAAATAAAGCAGCATTCATCGAATCGTAAACGTAACTAGTATCGCTGATCCTCCTCCAGAACTGTTCGCGCACGTGAGAACTGGAACGGTTAAAGCTGTCTTATTGAGGAAAGCTCGTTTTCGAAAAGTGACCTAAACCATTTCTTCCTCTAATTAATTGCCAAACTACATGATGAAATCGAAAATTATTTTATATAGGATTTCACAGGGTTCACCAAAATAAGAAATCAAGCACACACTATTTCCTAAACATAAAAATTCGGGAGGAAAAGGCCAGTAACTTAGAGGTGATGCACGACGTATTGGGAATGACCCAGATGCCACCAAAAAATGTAGTAGTAAGGTAATAAAATGTAATGATAAATCTAATGCCTTGTGTAACCTTGTCCAGAAGAGTCAATTTACGCACCGAACCTCAAATTTTGTTTCGCACTTCACTCAATCCTTATGATTGATTGATTAGTGATTTCGGGCGCGTCACTTACTAAGGTTATTAGTCCCGTTAGTGTAATGCAAGTTTTATAGCCGGAGGTGACGGTGATCTTCCGGCGCAGCCCTACGTCGACTTGCGGATCATTTCCCGAACCTGGCACCTCCCGTCTCGCGAGGCACCGCCCAACCGAGACAAGCTCGAAGCTCCTGACAAGAGTGCTCATGTAGTGCATATGAGAGTGTGTCTGTGTAAGGGGCGAGGAAAGGACAAGGAATGGGGAGGAAAGATCGTGAGCTGTCCGCGGTCCGTTTGTCAGGATACTGCTCCGGCATTCACCTGACGTTGATCGATGAAACAATGGAAAACTATCGATCAGCGCAGCTGGCTGCTAGAATTCTCGTCCAGGCAACAGTTGAATTCGACCTAGCTGACAAGCTAGAGTCGAAAATTCTGCCACCGTCGGGACTCGAACACTAAGCCTCTGAATATTTTTTGAATTCTCCTTCGTTACTGCCTTGCATCGCATTACATGACATTTCACTTCACAACACTACACTATGCTTATAAGATTTTCAATTTATTAGTGGACATATGTAATTAATGGGAACGAATTGCACTAAACAAGTATTTGCTTTCCAAATTTCCGATTGTTTGGAGGAAAGATTATCAATACTTTATAGGCCAATTGCTCCATTTGGGTAATCTTTGATTTTCACACGAACTCGAAAATTACCAGGTTTCCATTTTGCATCTTTGTTGAAGATTGGCCTGTTGGTCCCCTTCACTGGAGAATGTAGGTGGGTGGTCTAGGTTTCTTCTTTTCCAAGCCGGATACCCTCAATACGATAAACAAAAAGTGCAAACCTCTGCCATTTCATTCATTATTTCAAGTGATTCTTAACGTATCCCTTTATTCTAAAAGTAAATTTTGTTGCATCCTTTCCAAATATTCTGCATGTGTGGGTACTGACAAATCGCTCCATATTTCCTTATCGATCAAACAACTGTTTAAGAACAAGCCATTAAGAGATAATATTTAGAGTTCTCCAGATTTTCCCTACGACACATTTTACGTGATTTTCTGGACTCAACGTAGTATCTACTTAACCGATAAATTATTGCGATGAAGCTCCATCCTCTTGTAAAAGTGATTGTAGTTAAAATAGATTAGAGAGGGAAAATGAATATTAAGTAATGCTATCCAAGTGATTCTTGCAAATTGAGCTTGGAATTCTACGATTGCATATCCATTGACGATTAGTCATAACAGGCTAACTCATGGGCGGGAACATTTTCCATTGGTGACCGAATATAAGTTACTTAAATTTAAAAATAATAATTGAAATGACTTAACAATAATTATCCTCTACATGGCACATGCAAATGGGATTGGATATAATTGTACACATACAATATTCATATATACACTGGTGTCTGGAAGCTCCCGTTACAAAAAATCTCAGATTCTATTTTCAAATTCACAAAGAACGACAGATTCATATTTTTCGAAAACAAATGTCTTCGAGAAAATTGTTTCAGATGCGAAATTCACACTGGCTGCCACGCCACGTAAGCGCGTGCACTGGGGCTGGGCACTGTGTTCTATTCAATGTATTTATGACGCATTTTCACTACGATTTATCACCATGGTTTGCAGCGGCGTAATGCTGAACACAAATTATTGGCCTTATGGAAATTAACATATATCTTGAAATGCTAAAATTATTTTTAGCCTACCTTCAATTTGAACTTGAATTTGGCTTGTGCTTTAATTAGAGCCTAAACAATAAATATTAATGCTCAGCAAATTCTATCCTTAACTATCCTTAATATACAGACACATTAATAGTGATTTACAGCTCAAATTGCAAGATACTGAGTTTATTCTTTATTTGTAGGTGGGTAGTCCGAACTGACGGATCCGTCAGTTTCACTTGTGGATCTGCAGGCGGACCAGTGAATTAAGGAATCTTTACAGTCGACACATCGGAGGGTTCAGTCAGCCAATCCTACACGGTGACCGTGATCAAACGTGAGAAAATGGCATCATATGCGCCAAGTGATGAACAACACAATAGTGTAATATTAAGGTGTTGACGCCAAAAGGTAAAAGAGGAAAAAAAATCTCTTTCATGCACTGGTGTACACATTTCTTTGAAAAGAATGTTAACTACTTACACGGAAACTATCGCGTTCTACCCTGCCCCTACCAGGCGCCGACGCACTATGCCACTGAGTACAGTGTGTCGCGTCGCGTCGTGTCTTGTATCGTATCACAGGCTGACATTTGAACCTGACACCTGCGCACACTTTTCAATAGAAAAATCAACACAGCAAACAAACCAAAAGCGACATGCATTTAATGTACGTATCTGCTACCTACAATGCATGAAAAACATGCAGAGAAAGATTCCTAAACCGTCACCAACTTCATCATGAAATGGCTTCACGAATTTTCTTAAGGCTTCGGGACGGCGGGATTCTGTCATATCGCCTATATTAACAGCAATGCAACGGGCATAATACACATTAAATTTCGATAAAGGGGTACTCGATTTCTATACACCACAGAACATCGTGTAGCAGGTTTTGCAGAAATACTCCTTTCGAAATGCATTCCTTGTGGCCAAACAGAAAGTGCTTCATATGAGCCCTCAGGATTACTCCAAGCAAGGATAATTCACTAGGTGCTTGTTAGGGAGCTCATTCAATACCCACTGTTCTCTTAAATATTTTTATTTGGAGACGACGTATCCTTAATGAGAGGGCAACTAAAATAAATTATTATCACATTTCAACGGAAGAAAATCTACATGCTAATTCGACAATGCTTTACGGATTATCTAATGTAGGCTATCCTTAGCCCAGAGATGCCTTGAATGATACTCGGGGAAGCACCAGTTCGAATCTCAGAAATAACTAACAAATTCGACAATTTAGCTACAAAATTCTGTGAGTGTTTATCATGATATTATACCACAATTCTCGTTCACGATTATCTTGCCCCGCGTTGGGCAGACAGTTGGTAACCTGCATTAACCCTGGATGTTGTTAATTAAATTCATTTTAATTAAGCTAATAATTAATAATTTTAATTAAGCTATGTAGCCATTTGCAACGTTTTTATGATTCTTCTAATTTAATTTGCCCTAATATGCTCATAAATTAATTGCTGTAATAACTCATAATTTGGCTACCTCTGTTTTTCTTTAAAATCCTGCATGAGTTCCACGTACAAGACACGTCACCTTACCTGTTGCACGTGGATGTATGACTCTATACAATTCACGATTCCTGGAACTTTTGTGGAATTTACTGCTTACTGAATTAAAGGCAATATATTGAAATAGCAGCCTTTCTTTTCAAACAACAATCAACATTTATTATAAAACTAATAATTTGTATCGAGCTTGTTACTGATAAATAATTCTATGGCCTTTGAACATTGTTAAACAGTACCGCTATGATAAAGTTCGTAAGCTTACGGAATGTCTTCTCGGATGGTTCGTTGCCGCCGTCTTCTCCAAAAGGTGATTTTCTGGGTCTTCCTATGGTGTAATGTATGAATTTATTGTCCGTGTAAAATATAAATGTTTCTCGACTGTTGTTAATTGCACAGTTCGCTATTCGGAAAATCCCTACATCTCTTTTATATAATCGTGTCGCGACTTTCCCTCACTAGGCTTCGGGTGAAACCTCTATTCACGACTACTATTTACTTTAAATTAACAATTTAAAATTCCCAATACTGAATTATCCTCATGTAATTCCACGAACAC